ACTCCATATATCCAAACTGATTGTCTTAGTGCTCCCCTCACCCCCCGACACCTTCCACTAGGCCTCACCATCTTGCAACACATTACATTGGTAGCTAAATTTCAACACGAGATGTGGCAGAGATAAACCACAGCACTGATCACATGATCCCAAGAGTGGCTGCTCCCGTGCCTTTACCTCTGTGAATGGCACCACGTAGGAAACAAGTAACCCAGGAGCCATGTCAGCCTCTTCCTCTGCTTGACGTTTAACCAGATGCTGGGTCCTGTTCCAACCCACTTGCTCTCCACCTCCCAATTTTTCTTTCTTCTCCCAACTCAACTCACTCTCTTCTCTCTCTCTCTTTCTCTCTCTCTCTCTTTCTCTCTCTCTCTCTCTGGCTCTCTCTCTCTCCTCTGGTGGTACTGGGGTTTGAACTCAGGGCCTCATCCTTGCTAAACAGGCACTTGAACAATTCCACCAACCCTTTTTTGTGATGGTTTTTTTTCAAGATACAGTTTCACAAACTACTTGTCCAGGCTGGCTTGAAATCATGATCCTCCTGATCTCTGCTTCCTAGGATTACAGGCGTGAGCCACTGGCACCCAGCTACCCTAGGGATTCTTGCTGCTGCTCCCTTCTCTGGCCACTTTCTCCCTGGTGGAGTCTCTGATGTATAGCAATGTTTCAAACACTGAATACATGAGTGAACAGATGGATAAGTGACAGGCTATTGTGGATATACTAGCTACTATGGCATCCATTTCCTCAGATGAGGAGGCAAGGTCAGAGACATTAGGGTACTTGCTAAAAGTCCCCCAGTCATTAAATAGCAAAGCTGGCTCTAACTAAGTGTGTAAGAGACACAGTGCTGGCTCTGACCACTGTTCTCCTTTGCCCCCTGATGAAAAATCCCTGAACTCATCAACCATGCAAAGCCTGGACTGCCAAGTGCCCTAAAGCTGCACCTCATCTGGGCACGTGATCTGGACCCCATATTCACAGGCAATGCCTTGTTCACTAGCATCACCCCTCAAACCAGAGATGACTCACTCTTCCTGGGAAGAAGTCGATCCCAGTGCCTCCAGCCTCTCTGAGAATCTGTGTCTTGCAGCTTCATGAGCCCTTAAAAGCCAGTTTCTGAGAGGTGGGCATTTTCTGATTACAGAGGTGGCTATCAGGTGTGGCCTGGCTTTGCTATAGGGGAAAGACCCCGGGGGCCACCTGTATTCAAACCTCCACTTCTCATTGGGCCAACTAGGGCAGACGGCTTGACTTAGGCAAGTGCTTTCAGCTTCCACATCTGGAAATTGGGATAAGAACTGGCACTTAACGGAGGGGTAGACTTGTTCAAAGTACACTGTACACATGTATGGAATTATCACAATTAATCCCCTGTATTACTAATATATGCTAATTTAAACGTGAAAAAAAAAGGCCCTAACTGGGGCCAGGCACACAGTGGCTCATGCCTGTAATCCCAGCTACTCAAGAGGCAGACATCAGTTGGACTCCAGTTTGAGGCTGCCAGGGCAAATAGTCAGTGAGATCCCATCTCAATCAATAAACTGGGCTTGGTGTCATCCCAGCTATGAAGGGGGTATAAATAGAATCATAGTCTAGGCTGACTCAAGGCTGTATTAAAAAAATAACTAAAGCAGCTGGACACTGGTGGCTCACACCTATAATCCTAGCTACTCAGGAGGCAGAGATCAGGAGGATCAAGGTCCAAAGCCAGTCTGGGCAAATACTTCCTGAGACCCTATCTTGAAAAAAACCCATCACAAAAAAGGGCTGGTGGAGTGGCTTAAGAAGTAGGCCCTGAGTTCAAGCCCCAGTACCTGAAAAGAATTCCACTCCCCAGGCCTGAAGTTGTCAGGAAGTGGCTGTGGGTAAAGTTGTCACTTGAGCTCCACTGGGTGCCTCAGGCCTGGGGCGAAGGGTGCCCAGTCAGAGTTTAGTTGATGATGGCTCCCTCCTCCTCTGTGGCTCCCAGTCTGGCCCAGTAGCCTTTGAAAGCATTTTATGGAGCTCCTGCCCCCTGGAGCTCCTGCCCTCTGGAGCTCCTGCCCTCTGGAGCTCCTGCCCTCTGGAGCTCCCTGTGAAGGGATGAGCAGGAAAGTATTTTCAGATTCATGCAGTGATGGGCGCTGAGAGGTCTGCTCTGAATACCGCCTGATGTGGACTCTTCCTTAAAAGCTATGACCTTCCACTCCCACGCAAGGCTTCTGAGCCAAACCCACCCGCGGAACCCGCACCCTAGGAAAAGTGCCCACACTTTGGAGAGCTGAGTGGGGAAGAGGGGAACCCACTAGGAATTCTGGGTCCCTAGGTGAAAAGCTATGTTTTCACTCCTGAGGACAGAACTTACTCATAGTGGAGGAGGCGGAGTTCCACCAACCTCTTTAAAGACTCACAAGGTGACTTAAAGGCTGGCGTGAAGCTCCCTTGGGGACGGATTTGCAAGTACAATGAAGGCCGCCTGTCCTGCGTGGGGAAGGGGGAGTTGGTAGATATTTAAGTAACACAAACATCTAACAAATGAAGGGTCTCAAGTGAGGTCTCCCGGTAGCTGTAAGTCCGCGGTGCCAAAGCCAGGTGGCGCTAAAGTCCCACTCATCGACGCCAGCTTCCTCGACACTCCTCCAGCCAGAGAACTGGGAATCCTGACCAACGGACAGCGTGGGTAGAGGAAGGAGAGGGTGCCAGGGCGGTGTTCTGGGGCATCTTGGCCAGAGACGACGGATTCGGAGGTCTAACGAGTCTGTGCGCTCCATCAGGGCGACTGAGGCCGGGAGCAGGCTGGGCTTGCGTCCCAGAAGGTGGAGCCTAAATGTGGGCGTGGTTATTGCAACCAGGAGGCGGGGCTTGAGGGACCTTGGTTTACATACCCTGCGTGGGTGGTACTTGTGCGCAAAGTCTGGGGAGGTGATTCTCTGGGTGGGCGCGACTTCAAAGACTCAGGGGCGGGGCTTGTGAGCATCTTCACGGGGCATCTTCAGGGGTGAGCCATTACCTCTATGTGAAGTGCATTAGCTGTACGCGGGCGGAATTCTACCGCTGGTGTGAGCTAGGTGAGGAGGCGGGGCTTGATGCTGGGGGCGGAGCCTACAGAAGAGCTTTACAAGTTCTCTGCAGGAGGCGGAGCTCGCCTCTCTCCGGGACAGAGTTAATACTCTGCGGGATTCCCTGAAGAGTCCCCGACTCTGTGAAGGGGCGGAGCCTGCAGTTGTGTTAGGCAGGGCACATGAATGCGTGAGAACGTGTAAACTCTGGGCGGAGTTCATACCTCGGGGAAGACAGGACTAATAAATCTGTCTCCCTCTGCAACGGCCCAGCGGAGGAGGCGGGGCTTATGCTGTTGGTGGGCGGGGTCTTGAGCTGATAGGGTAGAGGGGCGGGGTAACCTGCAGGAATCTCTGAGCTGGCAGGGGGCGGGGCTTGTGGCTTTGGTGGGCGGGGTTTCTGGAGAGCTCCCCAGGGGGGCGTGGCTCATGGCTCCAAGGAACCTAGCGGATTGCACCGGAGTCCCGGGCTGCCTCTGGATGAGGCGGGGTGTGACAGTCAAGGGGCGGAGCCTAAAACACCGCTTGCGGCTTGGGCGGAGCCTGGGCCCGGCGCAGGCGGGGGCTCTGTCCTGGGAGGCCGTCTGTTTAGGCCCGCACGCAGCTCCGCATCTGGTGCTCATTACCGGATGACAAAGAGCCGGCTCTGGGCCCCCTTCCCCACTCCCATCCCCCCGCCGACTGCAGTGCATTTAACCCTTTCCTGCCTTCGGGGCTCTCTGGAGTCCCTGACCTGGGTCACGAGAGGGAACTCCAGTCTTCCCGTCTCGGACGACAGTGTCATTCCTCATGCTGCGCCCTCACCTCCTTCCCAGACCCCAGGAGTCTGGGCAGCCCCGCGACCCCCACTTCCGTTCAGCAAACCTCCTTAGCGGCGTCTCCCAGGTTAAAGCTGGACAGGATCTGGCAGGGGCGTCTGGTTTGAGTTAGGGGAACGTGAGAGTGGCGACGGGGGGCGGTGCATAGCGTTCCCTCCGCCTCCTCTGCGACCCCCCAGATTCGTCCCCAGCTCCAGCTCCGCCTCTCCTGGTTCCCTGGGGCCCAGTCCCTGATCCAGGGGATGGCACAGAGCTCTGGGTAGGGAAGGGGCGCTGGGTCACCCCTCCTCTCCTGCCGGGGTGGTGGTGGCGGCGTTGCCCCGTGTTAATTAGAGGCCAGGAGAGGCTGAAACTGAAAAATTATAGAGGTGGTGGGAACCGGCGCCTCCTCCGCCCAGGTCCTGCCCCTCCCCCATGGCTGTAAACCCAGGATGAGGGAGGTTACCCCACATGCTGCTGTGATCTTTGACCAGACCCTTCAGGACCTTCATTCAAGTTAGGGTCTGCTGAGTTCTCCCGGAGCCCACCTCACTGCCACCCCACACGGAGAAGAGCAAAGTGTGGCCCCTAACGAGAAGGCCTTGCTCCTGAGGCTGCCCAGGAAACTAGACCTGGGTTTGCGCTCTCCCCATTTCAGCTTTCTGGGCTCTGATTCAGGATACTCCCCAGAACAAGAGGCAGGAGCGCCTCCTCTTAAGATTACCCTGAGCTCCAGCTCCTGACTTCTGGGCAGCCTTCAAGGACAGTGTGTTCAGAAGAAAGTTCAGAGAAACTCACCCACTGCATGCTCCTTCTTTCTCCTGATACTAGCCCCAGAGCCCATCTTTGACCCCTAAACCCCAGTTTAGCAGAAGCCCTCATCCCAGGACACCTTCCCAGATTCAGCACTTTCTCAGAGTTTCAGTCAAAAGAGGAACAAATACAGAATTCTCCCCCTGCCAAACCTCAGACTCCTGGGCTTGCCGTGTGACAGTGGGCAAGCCTGGCCTTCTCAGCTCCTGCTTCCCTGAGCATTCCTGACGCATACCTCCCTTAAGGGGTCTTACCTTACCCAAACTGAAGGAAGATCCATTCCTTCTCTCTGAGATCTCCCAGACCCTTCCCTCAGGCATCAATGCAGGTCAGGAGCTTTGGGTGAGGTTGGCACCCCATTTATTGGAGAAGACCCCAACACCCACCCCTGAGGTCCTGGGGAACTTGGCATATCCTCTGCCATGAGTGCTGGGCCCTGGGAGCGGAATCTCTCTGTCCAGCTGGGCAGCCCCCACGGATCCCTGGCGCAGCCTCAGCCATGTGTCCAGCGCATGTCCCTTCCCCCGACCCCGCAGGGGGAATCTGTGCCTGCATCACACACTGGTTCTGCAGGTCTGTACCCCTGTCAGGCTGCCCCTGGGGGGCATGGGTTCCGTGGGGCCCTTGCTCCCAGCATGAGTGACCCAGCGATAGCAGTCAGTGATGCGCTTGTTGGATGCATGGGGGCCACAGCGGGTGCAGTACACAATGCCCAGCGCAAGTAGGACCACCAAGAAGACACATGTTGGCACCAGGAGTGCCACCAGCAGCCACCGGTCATCCCTCTGGCTTCGACCTGCCAGACCAGCCTCTGCCAGGGCTGTTGGAGCTGCTGTAGGGGCCACTGAGGGCAGCCATGGGGCCAACTTGGGACCAGAGCCTCCTTGCCTTGGGACTTGGGGGGCTTTGGAATGGGACTGGGTAGTGCTGATGCGGAAGGTCTGGTTAGCTGAACTCTGAGGAGGCAGGGGAGTAGGGAGGTCTGGAGGCTGGGAAGCAGCAGGTCTAAGTTTGTGATGGACAGCAGTCACAGGGGACCTGGAAGTGGTGGGCAGAGGGGGCTGGACAGTGGAGATAATGGAAAGGTGGGGGGCCTGGCTTTTGAAGGCTGGGACATTTGGGGCCATAGGGACTTGACGGGCACTAGAGATGGTGCCCTGAGGGGCAGTGTTAGCTGGGATTCGAGGCAGATGAGTGGTGGCCTGGGTATCTGGAAACATGGGGGGCTGGTGGGCAGGGGACAGTTTGGGATATCTGGCTGAGATAATGGGAGGCTGGTGGACAGGGGGCAGATCTGGATAGCTAACCTCGATCCTGGGGATCTGGCGGTCAGGGAGCACAGCTGGGTGCATGGCAGGGACCATGGGGGGCTGGTGGGCAGGGTTCAGGGTGGCAGAGATAATAGGGGTCTGGTGGGCAGAAGGCAGTGTAGGGCGTGTGGCAGAGACCACCACAGGTCCAGTGGCAGAGAGCACTGAGGGGACCCTGGGGGCACTGAGTGGGGGTGGCCATGTGGGCTCCGGGTAGGGTCTCCTCGGCTCTCTGTCCTCTGGGAAGCTGGGTCGATAGGCCAGGCGAAAGTCAGGGGGCTGTGTAGGCTCCATCCACAGGATTCCAGGCTCCTCTGTCCAACCACCATCGAAGACCTCCCAGGCCTCCTCTTCATCTTCTCCTTCCTCCCCATCATCCAGCAACTCATCTCCAAGGTCCTGGGAAGCTCGGGCACCCATGGCCCCTGCAGGGCTACAGCTGATGCCATCTGCCTCAAGCTCATGACCCTCGCTGCAATAGCACTCAAAGCCACCAACGTAGTTGACACACATCTGCTGGCACACACCGGCGATCTGGCACTCATCCGTGTCCACGCAGCGGTGTGGCTCATCCTCAGCTGGCCGGAAGCCCAGGCGACAGTGGCAGCTGTAGCCTTGTGGCCCACCAGGCTCACACTGCTGCTCACACGGGGCCTGAGCACAGGGGTCCTCACAACTGTGTCCATCTGCGGCCAGTCGGAAGCCCTCAGTGCAGCGGCAGGACACATGACCATCAACCTCCTCCACACACTCGTGTTCACAGCCCCCATTGTCTGGACCACAGCCAGTCCCTGGGCACAGAGGTCCAGCCTGGGACCAGCCCACCCCACCTGAAGGCTGCTTCACGCAGAGCAGAGAGGCTCCTCTGCCAGCTTGGCACTGCACAGCAGCCACGGAGCCAAAGGGCAGCCACTCCAACTCTGTAGAGACCAGGTGGAAGGGTGTCGTGTAGACTGCTGGGCCAGCCTGGCCCACCTCATCTGGTAATGCTCGGCAGGCGCCCTCGAAGCCGAACTGGCACAGGTAACCATCAACAGCCAGCGTGCAGGAGCCCTCAAGCCAGCGATGCTCACCGCTGGCCTCAAGAGCAGCACAGCGCTGGGCCGGGCAGGGCCCTCCGGTCGCTGGCTGGGCCCAATTGGTGAAGGCCGTGTCCTGGTCTCCCGTGGTCCATGTGAAACCTCGCAGTGGGCGCTGCGGCTGGCATTGGCGTGCCTGCCTCTGCAGCCCAATCCACAGCAGTCCACTGGTCGGGCCGGCACCCACCAAACTGTCCACACGCTGGGCTTCTTCGGGTGTCCGCGGAGTGGCCAGGTCACCCCCCAGCTCACGGCACGCCCGCCAGGCCTCCAGAAAGGTGCGGCGTCGGGGGAAGAGGGCGTAGCAGCTGCTGGGGCTGCAGGCGGCTCGGGGCTCGGTGGCCCAGGGGGCCTGGCCCAGCGCGGGCACGGTGGCGGCCCAGGCCAGCAGCAGGCGCAGCAGCATCGCGAAACCCCCGGACTGGCCGGGCCCGGGGCCCGCGGCTGCTCTTGACAGGGGGAGGGACGGCGGCCTCTGGCGGGCGGGCCGGGGGCGGGTCCCGCCGGGCTCGGGCCTTGTAAGGAGCCGGCTGGGGCCGCTGCCAGCTCCCGGCTCCAGCTCCCCGGGGGCTGGGCCGCCAGAGCAGGAAGCAGTGGGGTGGGGGATGCTGGGGTGGGGGGCAGAGGAGGGGAGGAGGCGCAGTTAACCGGCAGCCCCAGGCCCCACAGGGCTGGGAGTCAGGGAGAAGGGGAAACGCCTGCCTGCGAGGCAGCCCGACCCTCCGAAAACCCCAGCGCAGTCCGCGGCTCCAGGCAGTGGGGTAAGGTCGCTTTACAGAAAATCACAGAGACCTGAATCTGGACACACTGACCTCCACACACCGCTGCACAGGCTCAGACCAACAACATGCTCGGGCCATCCCTTTCTGACCCCATATAGGTGTGCACGCTCCTCTCCCAACCCCACTCCAGGAAGATGTTCTGGGACACCCTGTCTGTCTGTCAGTCTCAGGCCAAGCCCTTGCCTCACCATGGTCCCCGAAGGCTTGCAGACCCCTCCCACAAGTGCATGGATCTGTCTGACATGCTGCCTAGGTACACATGCAAAGATGGTGGAGTCTGCTACTCAGGAAGCAGCTTGAAAACCCCTTGTGCACTCACTGAGCCCCTTCCTCAGCCCACCCCACTCCCAAGCTTTCTGACTCCAGCTGGGCCAGCATTAGGGGGCGGGGAGATGAGGCTAAGTACTGCCCTCCCCTCACCCTTGCTCAGCCTGGGGCCCTGGGAACCTGGGCTTAGATGGAGAGGATGCAGCCCCCAAACAGGAAATGCCTCTCTGGGCTCCTGCTTGCAGGAGGACAGGGTGCATGGGTTAGGGGCGGGTGGGGGCTGGGCTGTACTCAGGGTAAGCAGTGCTGGCTGTGAGGGGTTCAGTATGGGTACTGGGTTCACTGACACATGCATGTGTGACACAGGCATCACATCATGGAGCCCTCCCTGCTCCCAGAGCCTGCTGCATGGACCTGGCTGGAGTCCTCTTCCCTTCCTAGAGGCTGCTGGAGGCATGTGCTCTGAGCCAGGCACCCAGGATGGCCCCTGGGGAGCTAATTGGAGAATTAACCCAGTCACAGCCTCTGCATTCTTGTTTGTTTGTTTGTTTAACTTTTTATTTTACTTTTAAGAGGCCAATTTTTGCTGTGTTGTCCAAGCTGGCCCCAAACTCTTGGACTCAAGCTTTCCCTCTACTCGGCCTCCTGACTGGTACTACAAGCACTTGACACCAACAAATCCTTTGTATTCTTAGCACATTTTTGAAGGGGGGAAGGTAAGGAAGAGGTTCTGATCCGCAGGATCAGATTCCCACTTTGCCACTGATCTGCTGTGTGACTTTGGGGAAGTCACTGACCTTCTCTGGACCTCCATTTTTCTTCTTTTCTTTCTCTCTTCCTCCCTTCCTTTCTTTCACAGGGTCTCACTGTGTAGCAGTGCTGGGATTATAGGCAAGTGCCACCATACCCAGCTTCCGTTTTTCTTATCTTCGATACTGGGGTGCTATGTCAGGGATTTTAGCTCTGTGGAGCTACTGTAGCACAGTACTCGCTGTTTGCAAATGTGCTTTGTGAGCTATGGAACATTAAAGGAATGTTCCTTAGGGTTCTGAGTAAATCTGGGTGGGGACTAGGTTAGGTCTTACTAACCACCTTACAGTGCCCTGTGAGGCCTGGCAGACCTGGCTAGTCTCTAAGAACCAGGGCTTATGAAGCACTTGCTTTATGTTCAGAGCTTCGTTCTATGCCCATGGAGCACAGGAACTTCTCCTCTTCTCAGAAGAGCAAAGTCCATCTTTCCATTGCTCAGGCCCCAAACCTTGAGCTCACCCTTTCACACCCCACATCGAATCTCAGCAAATCCTGTTGACTCCATTTTCAAAATAGATGCAGAGTCTGACCACTTCTCATGGCCCATGAGACTATACTCTCCCACCTAGAGTCTCAAAACAGCCTCTACCATCTCTCTTGCTTGCTCCATCCTGCTGGAGGGATCCTTTAAAAACCTAAGTCAGATCCAGTCCCTCCTCTGCTCAGAACCCTCTGAAGTCCAGGCTCTCATCTCACTCAGAGGAAGCCAAAGTTCCCACCATGCGATCTGTCTCCAAACTAATTCCACCGTGTCCCCTCACTTCCTCTGCTCCAGTCACTCTGATCTCCATGCTAGTCCTTAAATTCATCAGGCCCTCTGCCCCAGTACCTTTGTCTCTGCAGTCACCCTGCATACAGCACTGTTCCTGCAGTATCCAAACGCTCTATTCTTAACTTCCTCAGGACTCAATTCAAGTGTCAGAGTCCTTCACCCCCACCCCCAGAGACTCCCTGCCCCTGTCTTGCTCCATTTCCCTGCTCTGAACCCATTACTCTCTGACATTGTTGATCTCCTAATGGCTGAAATCCTCCCAACCAGTTTCTCTGCCTTGGCAGAAGTAATTATTTGTTGTAGGGTCTGTGCTGTGCTTTGTAAGATGCTTAGCAGTATCCCTGGCTTCTATCTAGATGTGACTAGATTTATCAAAAATGTCCCCGGACAGCCACGCGCCAGTGGCTCACACCTGTAATCCTAGCTACTTAGGAGGCAGCGATCAGGAGGATCGGGGTTCGAAGCCAGCCCAGGCAAATAGTTAGCGAGACCCTATCTCAAAAATATTCAACACAAAACAGGGCTGGTGGAGTGGCACAAGTGGTAGAGCACCTGCCTCGCAAGCTTGAAGCCCTGAGTTCAAACCCCAGTACTGGCAAAAAAAAAAAAATGTCTTCAGACATTGCTACATCAACCTCAGTAGAGAACTTCTGCCCTTGGAGACTGTGAGCTCCATGACAGCAGCGTCATTGTAATGTTTCCTGCTGTATCCCTGGAGCCTGGAAAGCTGCTGGCACCAGAGATGGTGATCAGTTAGGGTTTGTTGAATCACTGAATGAGGCTCAAGTAAGATGCATTGGGCTCAGTGAGATGCAGTGGGGAAGTTGAGCTTCTGCAAGGAGTCAAAGCCCACTTGATTCCCACACTCATTGGTCATGAAGTCAGACCATCCCAGAACTGGGAGATCCCTGGCAATCAGCAAGTCTTCTTGCAATGGGGAAAACTGAGGTCCAGGGAGTCTCAGACTGAGTGAGCAGCAGGGCTCAGACTAGAACTAAGGGCTCCTGATTCTTGTTCCAGTCTTCTTTTTGCAGTGGAGACTGAGCAGTAGGCATGATGTCAGTGGGAAGGAGGCCTAGACCAGAGCCCAAAGTACTGACTGAGGCAAGAGCTCACATAGATCTGTTTGAAACACAAAGGACTCCCGTGGGCTTGGGACAAGGGACATGAGAGGGGGAATGGTGAGGAGTTGAGGTTGGTCTGGAAGGTCTTGAAGTTCCACAATGGCTGGGACTCCATTGTGGAAGCCATGGGAAGAGAGACACAATGAGGGATCGATGAGGGATGTCCATGGCTGGTGGGTGGAGGGTGGAGGGGACCGGAGGCCAGGGACCAGTTAGGAGGCTGTTGCAATCGGCTAGAAAAGAGGAGGGAGCTGGCTTGAGAGCCAGCAGCAGGGCGGGCCGGGCTGGGGGAGGCAGCCTCTGGAGGCTCCTTGGGGGCGGTCCTGAGCCTGGTCCAAGGGTGTGGTGAGCGCAGTCATGCTTCGGGCAATGGCCAGTGCTGGGCGTCTAAGAGGAGGCTGTAGGATGTCTGGCAAGTGGGTGGGTCAGATCAGAGGTCAGGATCCCAGCTTCAGTGGGGATGAGGGGTTGGGGGGCATGCTAAGGAAGCAGGATGAGTAGGGTCAAAGGTCAAATTCCAGATGTACTAGCTGGGCCTACTTGTAAGTTGGAGGGAAGCCTGAACAGGATAGGAGGCTTGGAGTGCTTCTCTGGCCCAACAAGGCTAAGGGTTGGGGGGATCAAGGATAAGACTTAGAGACATGTCTGGGTCTCCAAGACATGGGTGAGAGGGTGCCCAGCACTCACCTGTCCCCTTCAGGTTGGAAGAGGTAGTGTGGAGGCTGCCCTAGTTGGGATGGAAGACACGGGAAGCACAGGATCGTAGATCTGGGTGTAAGGAACTGGGAAGGGGCTACTTGAAGTTTTGCTCTGCCTACTGCACTGGTTGTCCTGACCCATCTTGGTTCGCCCATAGCACAAAGAAGATATTCATGACACAATAAATGCTTGGAGATGGGAGGGTGGGTGTATGGATATTGGGTGGATGCATGGATGGATGGATGCATGGGTGTGTGGGTGGATTCAGGGATGCCTGGATAAGTGGATGCATGGAACGATGTTGAGGATGGGTGATTGACAGATGGGGAGACAGATGCGAAGATGGAAGGACACGGGAATGAGCAAGTGGATAGGTAGATAGGTGGGTAAGTGGATGGATGCGTGGATGAGAAGATGGATACAGGTATACAGGCAAAAGTGGGAGGTGCCGATTCATCACCAGTGGCCACCGTAATGAGTGATATGCTCAAAATGAACCTCTAGGTCTCAGCAGGAGCACAGTGTGCTTGCACTACCACAGTGGGGATCAAGTGCAATGCTTCCCCTGGTACCACACAGCCATGTTCTCTGCTGGGGCCTGATGGCCAACAGGTCTCCCTGGTCGGGGTGGGGGTGGTGGCAGCAATGTGCTTTCCAAGCTCAAAGTGCCAGGTTCAGCTAACATTGAGGGGTCAGGAAACTTGGGGCTCTGATCATGACCCAAATGGGAACAGCTCACCTCGAGAGGGCAAGAAAGGAAATCCACATCCCCAGAAGGAGTCATGTAGAGGCCTATGGTGGTTTTGATACGTTGTGTGCACCCTTGGGGAGAAGGGAGAGGGGAGAGGGGGAGGGCCGCCTGCAGAACGGCTGGCCTAGAACAGCTGGTGGGGGGGGTCGAGTGAGATTGGGGGGCGCCCCCCGGGCAGGCGTCCTGGACAGCCTTGGCACGCCG